GGCCCATAGATCTTAACAGCTTATCAGCAGGGTCTGCTGTAACTCAAAAAAGGTATTAACCTCAACTGATCTAGGTCAAGCCTCTCATTTCTCCGATGAGGAACTGAATCTAAGAGAAAGGGAGAGCCGGAGTTAATGGCTAACCCAGGAGTTTCGAGGCATCTTCTATAATGTCAGGGTTCTCGGCTGCTGTGCTTTTCATATTTTGTATTTATACAGCACCGGAAGATCCTGGCTGTCTCCTGCCATCAGTTCTTCCTAAGACACATGTTATTTCCTCCTCGTAATCAATATTTGGTCTTGTGTCAGCTGGGTAATGTTCTGTGCTGCCGATGGTTCCTCATCTTCCCTGAGCTGTGCTTGGATCGAATCTGGCCCGTGAAAGCAGCTCCTCCTTGTCACAGCCTTTAGTTAATCACCCCCACCTCTTCTGAAGTCCGTGAGCTTATTGCTGGCAAACTGGAGCTCTTAAATCCACAGGAGCTTTTAATTTTTAAAATGTTGGCACAGAGTCAGGGAGCAAAACACCTGCTTAGCCATGTGAAATCTGGAAACTCATCCTTCTAGTTTTTACTGTCTTGCTCTGACTTTATAAATAGGAGTGAGAGAAGTGCTTCTTGATGCAATTGCTGCAGGTACCCTCCCTTGGAGGGGGCTCTAAGGGTTTCTTTTAAAGTTGGGAAGGAAGAACTTTCAGAAATCTCAACCAGATTCTTTGTTATGCTTTCAGTTGTGGATCAGGTCTTCTAGCTCCATAAAGGCTTCTTGGTTTTGTTTCCACTGACAGAAACAAGCACATTTCCCAAATATCTTGTCTATGTTCTTCGAACACTATTCCCCCAGGTTTTTGGTGACAGCAGGATCTTACGCAGTAGTGTTCTCTTAAAGCATGCATTATGAGCGGACTCTTTCAGAATCCCTTTCTACCTGTTTGACTTTCAAGACAGCCTTTCACCTGGAGCTGCCTTTTAAATACTTCTGCGGATGAAATTCCCCAGGAAGCTGCAGGTCATCGCGAGGGCCCACAGGGGGCAGCACTAGGAGCGACTCTTTCCCTCATCCTCTTTGTATTGGGGAAAGGGTTCTTTCTGGAAGATGCTGAAGTCTTTCACCAGGCTTCAGAAGCCCCTGGTTGAGATCAAAGGCTCATTGGCAGCCGTCTGGTTGCTTGTTTGATGATGTTTCAGCTATCCTGAGGAGTGCATTCTACTGTTCTTGATAATCAAAACGTACATGAAACTCGGTCCCAGCCACCGAGCCTCCCACCAAGCAGCCTGCCTATACATCATTCCTAGGCGCCATTAGCATTTGAGGTGAAGTTCTGTTTTACACTCAGGCTGTGGCTCTCCGAAAGTCAGTGCATCACAGAACTTTGTCTCGAAAGCTTGCTAGCAGCTGCCCGTTTTGGGAGTGGGAGGGAAGAATAGATATTAAAGGAAAAAAAAAAAAAAAAAAACGGCCCAGAGCTTGTAGAATCTTTCTCAGCAATCAGCCTTTAATATGTTACAAGGTCACACCTGGTCTATTGTCCAGGAAACCCACTTCTTTGTAGCTGAGAGTTATTTATAAACCTGCCCTTTGCAAAAAACTTAAAATGCAATTTCATTACCTGTAATGGCTTCTGGGGCCTTTAAACTGGCTGGTTTTATTGCACCAGGGAAACTTCTGCCCTGCGCCTCTCCTGAGTGGTAAGGGCCCCAGGCTGAAGTGGAACCAGCTGCAGACAGGAGGTGGCAGGAGAAGTAAAGGAGAAGCTGTGGGCTGCAGCTGTAGCAAGGCAGAGGAGCAAAGCAGTCTTTCAGCTCCTGGCCCAACTTCGCTGCTTTGTTCCTTTGGAAGTTGGCAACGAGCAGTTTTTTCGGTGGTGCCTTTTTTCCTCTCTCAGTCAAAATTAGTCTTCTGCCTCACCTTCCTTAGCTTGCCTTTGATCTTTCCCAGGAAAATCCAGGGCTTCTGTTTTCTGTGATGGTGCCTTCCAGGAAGCCAAGGGAAGAAGGCAGGAGTAGGAACAGCACCAGGGATGTGTTTCCTCTTTGGCCAGCATGGCTGCTTGGGGACTGGCAACCTGTCAGCCACAGAGGATGACTCTGCCTCTCCCAGCTGGCTAGTGGCCATTAGGGCTTGGCTTTTTTTTTTTTTTTTTTTTTTGGATTCTTGTTCCTTCCAGGGATGCCAGACGGTGGTTGCGAGAACCAGTTACTTATGCCAGATCAGTTTAAGCCAATAGACCGCTTTCTAAGGTTGCTGTGAATGTAAGTAGACTAAGAAAGCCAAAGATTTCCAGGGAAAAGGCTTTAGGAAAAGTTATTTGCTTCTCATTATTATAGGATTTATTTATTTGGATAACAAAATGACAGAAAGATGAGAGATCTTCTATCCCTGATTCATTCTCCCAAATGGTTGCAACCATCAGGACAGAGCCAGGTGGAAGCCAGGAGCCAGAAATTCCATCTGGGTCACCCACGTTGATGACAAGGGCCTGATCACTTGGGCTGTCATCTGATGCTCTGTCAGGAATATTAACAGGGAACTAGATCAGAAGCAGAGTAGCTGGGACTCGATCCATGACACCCACCCCAGTTACTCAAAAATTCCTTCTGTTAACCTTTCCCAAACCCTTCCCCTCCCCATTACGGAAACTATTGTGTATCCCTTTTGACAAATTGAGAATCCAGGTTACTGTAGAACGGAGCCTGCTCTGTGGGAAGATCTGTGAGGAGTTAGGAGAGCTTTTTATTTGTGGCTTTTTTTTTTTTTTTTTTTGTCTAGACTCGAGAGGCATTCCCTCTGTTAGGCAGCAGAGTTTTGAAAGGAGTTCCTCTTGTTTTTGTTTATTCCAGAGTATTACATAGCCCTTGTGGCACAGTGTGCTTGGAATACCAATATCCCATATCTGAGTTCTAGTCCTGACTGCTCTGTTTCCCGCTAATATACCTGGAGAAGCAGCAGATTCTGGCCAAAGCCCTTGGGTTTCTGCCCGCCCCCCCCCCCCCACACACACACACTGGAGACTCCATAGAAAGCTGGACTCCTGGATTCAGCCTGGCTGAGCCAAGCATTTGGGGAGCAAACCAGCCAATGGAAGATCTCTCTCTCCATTGGTCATGCTGCTTTCAAGATAAATAAATCAGAAAAAAATATATAGAGTGGGCATCTTACAAGGAATATTTATCAAAGGAAAGATAAAGTTGGTAGTAATAGCCCCAAAAACAGCCACACCAGAAAATATGCTTATATGTGAGTTTAATTTTACTATATCAAAAATTTTTTATTCTCAAACTTCCTTTATCTCTTGATTATTCACCAAATACTGAGTGTTTAGTACATGTCACGCGTTGTCCTAGGATAAATCAATGCACAAAACACAAAAATAGTTGTCTTCAAGAAATCAAATGGGGAAATCTTAGATTTATTTTATTTTTATTGGAAAGTCATGCAGGGAGGAGTAGAGAAAGAGAGGATCTTCCATCCGTTGATTCACTCTCCAAGTGGCCACAAAGGCTGGAGCTGAGCTGACCTGGAGGCTCCTCTGGGTCTCCCACATGGGTGCAGGGTCCCAAGGCTTTGGGCCATCCTCCACTGCTTTCCCAGGCAAGCAGGGAGCTGGTTGGGAAGCAGGGTGGTCGGGATTAGAACTTACATCCTTTTGGAATCCTGGGTGTGTGACAACTTTAGCTGCTAGTCTACCGTGCCGGGCCCTGTACTTGTTTTTGTAATCCTCCTATCTTCTCTCTTCAAGCTGGGTTCTTTTCTGTGGAACCATACACCTCTTGAAGCCTCATAGGACAGGTCACCTGTATAGAGGCTACAGTTTTGGGGTCCTTGGCAATGATTGTGTATTTTTTTCCTCCTCATTCTTGGGTCTTTGTTAAACACGTGCTCAAAGAAATGTTTGGTCTTTGTGTGGGCTGTGGTTTTCCTAAGGCCAGGAAAGAGGTAGGGAGCAGTAGCCTCCTCTCATGGCACAGGGATATATATCAGTGGCTTGTGAAGTGATGGAATGCAGACTGCCTTCACCTTCCTCGCGCAGCCGCCGCGTCCCCTCCCCCTTTTCCCTAAAGTAGTTCACCCTTGCCGCTGCAGGGGTACGGTGGGGTAGGGTGGAGAGCGAGCCCCTGGTCAAACCAGCCCTGGCGGAATGGAGAACCTTGCCCTGGGGGACTGGAGTGGTGTTTTTTGTTTGTTTGTTTGTTTGTTTTTGTTGTTTTAATGTAATCATGAAGGCCAAGGCTGTAGTTCTATTTGAGAGCTGATATCCTAAGCTTGGTTCTTGATGGTGAAAGAAAACGCTCTCCTGCTCTGTGTCTGCAGACTCCAGAGTGCGTTTCAGATCTCCCTCTCCCCACTTGTTAACTCCCCTAGGGTGTAGTTTGGGTTTTGTGAGTTTGTTAGTGGCGGTGGCTCCTGGAGGAGTCGGGTAGCGGGGGAGAGTTTTTGGAAAATGGCTGTGTCGCTGGGTTACATTCAGAGCTGGTGTGCCTGTGTGTGCCAGCGCACACAAATGCTCATTTCTCTCTACTCCGTGCGTGGGTGAGTTGTGGAAGGCTTGTTTTATGCCTCTGCATTGCCACTGCATTGGGACTGCAGAAACTTTCAAGTGTGCGAGGGCAATCTACTCTTTCCAAATGGCCTCGTGCATTGCCTGTTAATTAATCTGATCCCATTCCATGGCCACCTGTGCATGGGAGATCAGGGAAGGAGGGTAATTTTGAAAATAACTGTATGGTAACATTGGGAGATAATAGCTTGACCCACCTTGATGAAGCCCTGTGTGAGAGTGAGAAAATGCGTGTCTGTGGCTGCTGGGAGGCCCTTGTTTAAATGCTCCCTTCCCTCACCCAAGTGCATTCACCAGTGGTCATTTTCAATGGGGAAAGTGAAAAATGGAGTCATTCTGGGATGGGGGACAGAGCGGCAGCCCAAAGGGGAGCAGGAGAAGCTTGTGGTTTGCTGGTGGTGTTGGAGTCATGGGGACTGAAGTTGTGTTCCTGTCTCTTCAGGAACCCTCCCTGTATACTGTCAAAGCCATCCTGATTCTGGACAACGATGGAGATCGACTTTTTGCCAAGGTGAGGCTCTCTTTCAAATTACTTAATGAACAGGACAAAGACTTCTGCTGAGATTGAAGTATTGGGACTGGCTCTATTCATTCATGATCCTCCACGAGACTTCCTCCATCTTATCTTGAGCACTCCAGGTCAGCCTCACGTTTCTGTTCCTTGTGCTGCTTCTCCTCCTCGTGTCCTTAGAATGTAACCTCCTTCGTCACCAGCTTCAGGGCAGGGAACAGCTTAGGAACCTTAAGTTCCTGAGTCGAGCAGTGTCTGGATGATAGAAGCAGCCTGCCCATGTCCATCACCCCTGACCTCTCCCCTTCTGCCCTTGCACCTTGCTGGAGTTTTTCCAGGGAATTCTGCAGTTTCGGTAGTCTAGCCCTGTGAGTGTCTACAGTCATCAGCAAGTGTGTTGGTTGCCTCCTTGCTTCCCCAGCCTTCTGGTTCCAACTTCACATCCATTGAAAAGCAGGGAAGATGACACCCCTCTCCTCTGCCTCCGTGTTCTCCCTCTCATGTAGAAATTTCTTCTGTCCCTGGTGTATTAGCTCCGGGCGAGCACAGCATAAATCAATCAGCAGGTAGAGATTAGTTTAGAATTCACCAGCTGTTCCTCCCTGTAATTGGATGTAACTATGCAGGACACCTTTTGAAACAGTTATCCAGTTACAAAATGCCAGACCTGGCATAGGTCTTCAGCTGACTGCGACGGATTAGCCCCTGAAGAGCAGCACGATTTAGCAGCCTGCACCTCCGCCCCCTTGCCAGGGAGAGCTTGGGAGTGGGCTCAGCAACAAGCCAGATCGCCCCGGCTCCTCTCCGTTTGAAGCAAAGAAAGCTCAAATGTGGTAGATCACAGAGTAGAGTTGCCTTCCCGTGAGGAGCGTTTCACAGCCAGTCACCCCTTTCCCCCTTTTCTTGAGCTGTGTACAGCAGGTAAGGACCTGAAGGAAGCGGCCTGTGCCTGCAGCATTTTCTGTGTTCTGGCATTGCTCCTAGGGAGGGCTTGATGGAAGTGCTGTCGGGAAAGCCCTCCCAGAATACAGATGGGAGCAGAACCTCATCCCCAGGCAGCCTTAAACAGGAGGTGGGGTTGCTTGCGCTAGCAGCTCCTTTACACTTAACACTTGCCCACTCACTGCCCACTCCCTGCTTCTGCAGTCTTCTGCAGGTCAGTATTTCTCCCTTGCTCCAGGCCTTGCAGGAGGGAAAGCCAAGTCCCAGGGCCAAGTGCAGTCACTGATCATTCTTGACCCAGCTCTGCTGACCCAACCCTGTGTGTCCCTTCTCTCTGACCAGTACTATGACGACACTTACCCCAGTGTGAAGGAGCAAAAGGCCTTTGAGAAGAACATTTTCAACAAGACCCATCGGACTGACAGTAGGTCATTTTCCTTTCACTGCTCCCCGTGTTGGGGGGAACTGTGGTGGGAAGGTGTGGCAACAAGACTGCAGAGAAAGGAAGAAATGACTCTGCTTCCTTTCTCTCTCTTTTTTCCCCCTCCTCCCCTCATATAATAAACTCTTCAGAAATGTAATGGGGAGGTGAGTGTACCTCACGCGGGAATACCGTGCTGGAAGGTTGGCTGTTAGCTACCTGTCTAGTCCCTGGATTTATGAGCCTCACTTGACAAATTTAACTGCAGCGCTGCTTATTGTACCGCATCCATTAGGGCAGGTAAATGGAAGTCTGTAAAGGTGACCGCTCTGCATTTTCACCTCCGAAGGAGCGACTAGTATCCTGTCTCATATACAAGTGTAGTGGGCAGGAGGGGGAGGAGGTGGCTACAGGAGAAGATACATTTAGACTCCTCCACTTGGTACTTCTGCTTCCTCCGTACCCCCCCCCCATCAATACATAAATAAATAAAAAAATAAAAAGAACAAATCAACTCCAGTCTTTGGAGGTCAGGCTAACCTGCCTGGCCTCAGCCTAAAATGGCTGTGCACCAGGCGCGTGTTCTTCCTCCGCTCAGGCCACCTTTTCCCCCCACCAGGTGAGATTGCTCTCTTAGAAGGCCTAACCGTGGTGTACAAAAGCAGTATTGACCTCTATTTCTATGTGATCGGCAGCTCCTATGAAAATGAGGTGAGAATCCCCAAGCCCTCTTTGCTGTCACTCATCCCAATTCCTAAACCACAGGTGGGACATGGCTGCTGGCTTGGGGCTTGGGTGAGCCGGCTCCCCCTGGATTTGGACTGGGTTAACGAAGTCATCCGGGAACATGACTCAGCAGCAAGTGAATCAGCACAGAAAGGAAGTTTTCCGCCATGTACAAGGCTCCATGGTTGCTTGAATACCCTTCCCTGGGTAATGTTTTCAGGCTGCATTTCCGAGGTGTGGTCGAAATGACAGATCAGTGATATTTGGGCTTCTTATAAAGAGTTCCGACCTGAGTTCAGCAGCACCAGGGTTATGTTGAACACATCCATTCTGAGGGAGTCACTTGAAAAGTCCATTTGTGTAATCCTCAGCTGCTTCCTGCACCCAGGAAGTTATTTGCTGCAGAGGAGGGGGCTTGTAGGAGAGTAGATAGGCAAAAATAAGCCCCCTGGGAAATTTGAGGCAAAAGTGAACATTTGAAAGGACTGCCTCTTTGCTGACTTATATTGGCTGTTAAAGTAAAGTACAATGCTTAGAATTTGCAGCGCTTCCTTGGGTTGAAGTTACTTTTTGCTTTGTTTTGATAAGGCCTTCCTTTGACTTGCATTATTGCCTGGTTAACAAATCCTCTGCCTCAGACATCAGGTAACACAAATACAGTTGGTGAAGACATGTCAAAGACAGTTATGGGAAACTTCTAGCTGAAAGAGGCTGTGAATTGTGGGACCATGGGGCAGATTTTATTTTGTGAGAAACCACAAGTTCTGTTCCTGCTTTGCTATCAGTTCTGAGTCTGTTGAGAGCATGTGACTGGATGCTCCAGGCAGGCTTTGTTTTTATGGAGCCACTTGTTCAGGACCCTAAACTTTATCTCCCTGCCTCCTCTGTTTCCCAACAGCTGATGCTCATGGCTGTCCTGAATTGCCTCTTCGATTCATTGAGCCAGATGCTGAGGTGAGCAGGGCTCAGTTGGCAACAGTTTGAGAGAGCAAGTAGCTGGTTCTGAGGCCCAAAGATCTCTTGGGGGTCAGGAGAGGGTTCAGGGACTTGATTTAGTTGTTTGTTTTGATTTAATTTTTGAAGCGAGGCTGATTCTCTCAGGACGGTTCACACAGATGGGGAAGACTTGGATGAAGCACATCCCTCCCTCCTGTGCGCTGATTTCCCCCCTAAGGAAGGAGGTGGGGAGGGAGCAGAATCTTACGTACTGCTGTCTGCCCTTGTCATTCCCAATGGCTCTGCCTGACAACAGAGCACCTAGAGATGCTTTCTGGGGTTCCATTCTAGACCTCAGAAGTAGGGAGAGGGCAAGCACAGGAGGTACCCCCGATAAAACATCAGTACCCAGATTGGAAGCAACACTCCTCCACTTGTAAGCCTGAGTTTTTCCCCCTCTGGAGAACAGAAAGAAATGTGCCTGTTACCTGGGCCTCCCAACCCACCTCCACGGCCTGCTCTGTTCTCCGTGTGGAGAGGGCAATGGGAGAGACAGAGTCCTTGCCTGCAAACCTGGAGGCCCTGCATCTCATTCCCCTGCAGCTCCCAAGTGACCAAGTCCAGACAGTCATCCAGAGTGGAACAGCAGGCGCCCTCAGCCCCGCAGAACCAGCAGGGCGGATGGCTCAGATTTCCTCAGGAAGGGGATGATTTATTTCTTAGCCAGGTGAATGAATAGACTTCATTTTGGGTAATCTAGGGAAAGAGTCAATCTGACGATGTGACAGGTCACATGCACTAACCACCGGATCCGAGACTGCTGGATATGGACCCTGGCAGTTCCCAGCCCCCACCCTCCCCTACTCCCCACCCCTCTTTGGATCGCTTTTCAGGGCCTGAGCAGAACTGGTGCAGTGCAGGGAGGGAGAGCAGAGAGGGCTTTAACAGGTTTGTCAGAGCCTTGAGTGCAAGCTCTCCTACCTCCTGCCTCTTCCAGATTGAGTTTTAGCTTCGTTTACTTTTTTCCACCTACGAATGTCAGTGTTTATGAGCAATGTCATGACTAGCATCATAGTAGGTAGGAAAGAAAAGAAAGCTCTGAATAGAATCTCCCCCTGACATTCCTGATCCTTAGCAAATAAGAGTAGGAAGAGGGGAGCATTCTGCACCTGCAATTGCCAGCATACCATCTGGACACTGGTTCATGTCCCAGCTGCTCCACTTCCCATCCAGCTCCCTGCTTGTGGCCTGCCCAAAGCCTTGGGACCCTGCACCCTCATGGGAAACCTGGAAGAAGCTCCTGGCTTTGGTTCAGCTTAGCTCTAGCTATTGTGGCCACTTGGGGAGTGAACCAGTGAATGGTGATATTCTGTCTCTCCTCTTTGTAAATCTTACTAATGAACATAAATAAATCTTAAAAAAAGGAAAAGATAGGATTTTGGAATAGAGGAGCTAGAAAGTTTTTCACTTTACATTGTGTCCATGGAGTGCATGCAGATATTCACCTGTCTAGGATCTTGAATTCAGACAGTATCCTGGGAGTACAATCACACATGAACGATTTCTCTTTTCTCTTGGGGACTCAGGAAAAACGTGGAAAAGCGAGCTCTGCTAGAGAACATGGAGGGGCTCTTCTTGGCCGTGGATGAAATTGTAGATGGAGGGTAAGTGCTGTGGGGTGAGAAGGTCCTGTACCCTGAGCATCCTAAAGCTAATGCAGCAGGAAAGAGCAAACCATCAACTGCCTTTGTCTTTGCAGGGTGATCCTAGAGAGCGATCCTCAGCAGGTGGTACACCGGGTGGCATTAAGGGTAAGCAGAGTGCGTTTCCCTGTATCCCCTCCCACCCCCCATCCACTCATAGCTGCACCCCCCGGGACCAGAGCTGCTGAATCTGTCCCAGGAGTGATCTCATAGAATCCGTGCAACCTTCTTCCCTTTCCTCACTATCCCATAGGAAGGTTGCGGAAGCAGCTTGCTTCTGCCCTGGAACCTCGCAGCCCATAGTCTTTGTGCAGTTGACAGTAAATACAGACTTACTGAATGAGCAATGAAATAAGAGAAACTGATAGTCTTGCTTCTGAGGCTATAAAGGATGGAAGTTTAGCTTCTTTCTCCTGTGGGGACGGCCCCATCATTGGAGGCAGAGGAGTGTCTACCTTGTCAAAGACTTGCATAACTAAGGTTAATCCTTCTGCATCAGGATGGTACCTGCTTGCCAGAACCTTGTCCCACTTGAGCACTAGGGATGCCAGGAAGGGGCCTCTGAGTTAACCACTGGAGGTTGTGGATCTTCTAGGGAGATACTAGTGGGTGCAGAGGGAGCCACCAGCAACATACTGGGGGGCTAGAGATGGCTGAGCAAGGTACATCTCCATGTTCACAAGATGTCCCGGATCTGACCTCCACAGAGTGAAAGCTGACAGTGCCGGGTAATGGGAAATCTTCTCCCTTAACTGCCGTGGGCTCCATTTGCATAGTTTAATCTTCTCCTCTAACATATGTCTCTGAGTGGCAAGAGAGAGGGGCCCCCCACGCCCCCCCTCTCCTGCTCAGGCTGCTGCTGCAGCAGTTGATTTCTTCAAATTAACATGCTGTCGTTACCCATCAGGCCTTGCGGGATCCATTAAACTGCCCCTGGCTCCCCCTCATCCTTTGCCTGGCGATATTGATATTCAGGGAAGGTCTTCACAAACCAGGGAATCAAGTTCCCCACCCCCAGGTTGAGGGAGTTGAGGATCACATAACGTGCTGATGACTTGGGGTGGAATAAATCTTTTTAAGACGACTTCCTGCCTTGAAGCAGAGGATGGATGGAATGACCCTTCTGTGTCCATGGTCCCTGTTGCCAAGTAAAACCATGGCTGCACTCGTCCCTACGAGGGACTTGAGGTTTAGGGCATTTGCCCTTCGCTTCCATTGAAAGAAGTACCTAGTGGATCCCCACTCCCAGCCTCCTGTCAGGTTACCGCCCAGCTTTCTGTCACACTAAATGCTCCTCTCTGGGTCACAGGGTGAAGATGTCCCCCTGACGGAGCAGACTGTGTCTCAGGTATGACTTGGTCTCTTCTCTCTCTGGACGGATGGGGTCCCTAAAGAGGCCTGCCTCCCAGCCCACCCACCGAGTCTGGCTGAGTGTCAGACGGAAGACACATCATCCTTGGCTTCCTCTCACCCCAGAGTTGAGACCCTATAGCTAAATGCTCCCTACCCGGCTCCGAGTCTTCTCCCGGTTTCCTTGTGAGTGGTACTGTCAGCCTTGCTCAGTACCCTTCAAACCCTCGCTGCCTGATGCCACTTTCTGTGATTTATTCCCCAGCAGAGGCTTGCCTTAAGCAGATGGTCTGTGTGCGCACACACTCTCTCTCTCTTATTATGCAAATGAGGCCTACGCTGGAACTGCCTATCCCAGAATGTGTGGGTTCTGCAGATCAGACTACAGATAGCTGGTGCACCTGACGGGCTGGGGCGTGGAGTCTGTTTTCTGCTCTCTGGGAATTCTCCCCAAGAAGTCCATATGGATGTGAGACACGCCCTCTTTAACACATGCCCAGTAACCCCCAGTTTTTTCTCTCTGCTCCTAGGTATATACCTCTTCTCTCTTCATCCCCACAGTGGATTTTAAATTTTTTGGAATCTCCCAAACTGACAACCCTCTGGGACCTTAAAGAGCTTCCTCCCATTCCTCTCTCCTTGGGGATTTCTGTTCCCCGCTCCACCAGCCCCCAGTGTTTTTAAGGACAGGGAAGGCGAGTGAGGGGAAGGGGATCCCCTCCTCCCCACCCTGCCCCTCAGCAGCCTGTCCTCAACGCTCTCCTTGCCTCTGCAGGTGCTGCAGTCGGCCAAAGAGCAGATCAAGTGGTCGCTCCTCCGGTGAAGACCCCACCGTCCCCGGCTCCTCACCCCTCAGAAACTCCACACAGCTGCTGTGACTTCTCCTCCAGTACCCGAGCGATGCTGTCAGGGTCACCTCAGGGATCACAAGGGATCCTTCAGTCTCAACCTTCTCTGTGGCTGGCCCCTACTCCTCCAACCTTCCTGTGCACATCCTGTTCCTTCTCCTTCTAAAATCCCCCCAGCAGGCCTGGAGGCCAGGCAGGGGACACGCCTGTCACCTTTCTGGAGAGAATGCTCCCGCGCTGTCCTGACCCTCCTCCCCCCTATTCCCGGCGTGTTCTCCTCAACTCCCTGCATCCTTTGCTGTACATGCTCCTCAGATCAAAGCTGGAGAAGGAATGTGCTGCGTGCTTTCCTCCCTTGGCCCTCACCCAGCCCTCGTCCCCACCACCTGGATAGATTGTCGGGGCGGGGAAGAAGAGCTCCCTCCTACACAGAGCCTTCCACTTGTTTTCTCCCCTTCGTGCTTGCTGCTCAACCCTCTGCCCTCGTCAAGAGGTTGGGAGGGGGCAGAGTGCAAGAAATAGTGACAGGAGATTTTACTGGAGAGGGCTTGTAAAATTCATTCTTGACACCATTCCTAGCATACAAGCCGCAAAGCTGCCCGTGACCCATCGTAGTGGTGTTCGTGGGAGTGTTTTCCCATCCCATGGGCATCTTTAAGTCTCCACCACTGCAGTCCGATTTGTCCCTCTGTGCACTGCAGCAAAGCCAGGCGCAGGAACTCAAATTCCACTGTAGTCTAGGGAAGAAGAAATGTGCAGAACTGGACGAAACAGAACACCAGACTTGGGCCTCTAGGCTCTGTCAGCCCCAGAGCTTTCCACAGGCATTTGCTGCTCAGCCTGGGTTCTGTTTCTGCTGCCCTGCCTTGGCCTTAGATCTGAGCTGTAGGTCTGGGCTCCCTGCCTCCCTTCCCCTCGAGACAGGGGCCTTTCCTTTGGGAATGGGTTTCCCCAGGGAGGCAAGGATAGAACTCTTTAATCTTATTCTTCGCCGTGACCCAAAGTTTCTACACACACAGTCTTTAAAAATCTTCCTGAGACTTCAGTGTTCTGCCCCATCCACTAACTGCCAACTGCAACATGGCAGTGAGGCACATAACTGGGCATCTTTGTGTCAGAAGTGTCTGGAGTCCAGAAGCTAGCCAGCCACCTTCCTGTCCCGCTCCATGCAAAGAGGAATAAACCCAGTTTCTTTTTCCAAACTGCCTTTGTATGATGTTTCTGTTCCTCTTATTTTGGCAGGGCTCCGATCTCCCCAGCACCCCCTCACTCCCTATCTTACAATATTTCTTCCCTCCTGCCTCAGAGACTCCCCAGCAATCTCCTCTTTCTACACGCCTCCCCCATCCCATCCCTCCACCCCCAATCCCTAATTTACGGGACTGTTTGCTTCCTTGGCATCTCCCAGTCCCCTTGCCTGGAAATTGGCGCCAGGGGTAGGGTGGGGCTGGTATTTTCTCAGTGGGAGTCTCAGGGAACCAAGTTCTCCCCCCACCAACTCCCCCAAAGCCAGCTGCCTGCTCCCGCCTCAGCCATTAGTAACCGGGAGACGCGCACCTGCGTGGGGGCTCTCCTCTAGGCCCTGCTCCCTTCCTGCGCCTCCCACTCCTGCTCCACAACGGCGCTGAGCGGGTTATTTATCGGAGCCAGCACTGCTCCAGAAGGTCAGGACGGTGGTGTAAATAACCTCTTCTCGCCATTTCCCCGTCCCTCCAGAGCCTGCTCCCTTCCCCCTCCTCCACCTTTATTCGCACAAATGAATGTGGCTGGGCTGGCGCAGAGCCTGGCCCTGCATCTTAATGGGGCGGTGAGCTCACAAGATGGATTTAGCTGGGGTTTTATGGTTGCCGCGGCGACAAGAGAATGCTTTGGTTTTCTTTGCCCCTTCCTCTGCAGGATTTTAAGGGGGGGTAAAAGGAGTGGGGGGGGCCCTCCTCTCCGCTGCGGTTTGCAGGGTCTCCTTCGCAGTCACCTCTACAGCACACAGAACAGGCCTGCAGTTGCAGGGTTAAGCTAGATGCCGAATTAACTCCTCTGATAGAAAGGCTCCAGGGCAAGGTGACAGAAGTGCAGCGGGAAACACAGCATCCTCCAGTCTCGCCTGCTTGTCTATGGAAACCTGAAGAGACTGTTAGGCGCCTGTGCCCAGGACCCCTCAGAAGTTAGGAACATGCTTGGGTGTGTCAGGATTGACTGTGGCCCTACACTGAAAGTTGGGGTCCAGGGTGGTGGATGTAGGCTTAGGTATCACCATCTTCTGAGCTCATCTTCCTACTCAACAACCAGCACCACCCTGGGGTGCAGCTGAATTACTTCCATAGTTGGAAGGTGGTGACCAGTGATGACGTGGGCCAGTGCAGTTGTGTCTAGATCTCAAGTTTGGAGTCCAGAGCTTCCAGGTTCCTAGCCTTCTTGGTTTGAACTTTTCCTGCCTTCTGCTTCCCACTGGGAATGAAACAGATGCCCCGACCTAGCCCATCCTCTGGCCGGGAATTTTCTTTTGGGACTGAGTCAAGCCATGCCCAGCACTGAAGCAGAGTTTGCTGAGCAAGCTCTGACAATCTCCCCGTCTCCCTCCCCGAGTCCTCTGACCGTGGGCCTCTCCGCCTTTCTCTCTTGTCCCTGGGGACCTAGGAAGCCCCTCCTCCCCTTACCTCCCTTCCTCTGCTTTGGCTGGGAAAGTGACTGCAGCCTGAACCATGCCAGACACCTGCCTGCCAGATGTGGTGATCCCTCACTCCCACCCCCCCAACCCAAATGTCTATCCTTTCTCCACCCCACTGAGCTGGGGCAGAAGGAGCCCCCCACAGGGTGATTTACTGATGCAGCCTTTTCCTCAAGCGCCTTCCCCCTGGTGCCCAGGCCCCCTCTTCTACCATCATGGCCATGTCTGTCTGGCAGCCACCTCTCTGGTCTAGCCTCCTCCCACCCCCACTCTGGGATTCTGGGCTTGGGAGCCCAGGCCCTCAGACTAGAGAAAGAACGGGTGGGGTGAGGGCAGCTGGCCTGTGCTTCACCCACGGGAGATACATCAGCAGCAGCGCTGGGGACGGTGGCCGCCAGAGCTGATGTCATTCTCACTGGGGGAGGAAGAGAGGGGATGCAAGGTTCATGGGAAGGAACAGCGCTCCAAGATGATCTGCAGCAGTGGGAGAAAGATGATGGCTCAGAGAACTTGCCAGGCAGGCGGAAGGGTCTGGAACTGTGACTGCAAAGGGTCCATCACATCTTTTGTCTCCAAGTCTCTAATGGCTTAGTAGAGTCCCCTCAGTTCCTGTCCTTTAGACAACCCTTAGAGGGCACCCCAAGTCTTTACTCTTCTTCAGTGTTTGCTCTTCTGCTTTCAATCTCCTTTTCCCTGGACACCCTCTAACCTCTTCATACTGTATCACAATCCAGCGTGAGTTTCCCACCAAAACAAGGACTCTCAAAAACTTTTTTCTTTCCCATCCCTCTCCTTGCACCCTAGTTTCCAAAGATCCACCCTGGGCCAGAACAGTGTCCCCGGGGGCAGGGGGCTGCGGAATGAGGTAGGATGTGGCTGGGCAGAAGTTTGACAAGGACAGGGAGATGGAGAGAGGTCCAGAAAGCAGAGGAGGGGACAAGGAGATGGACAGAGCAACAGACAGTGGAAAGTGATGGAGACAGAAGCTGAGCAAGAAAATCCAAACCTGAGAGAATAAAACAGACACAAAGAAAGTGAGGCTGGAAACCAAGAGAAAGGAGGAGATGGAGACAGACAAGCCACAGGCGGAGAAGCTGCTGAGGAGGGGCCTGGCCAGGGGCAGTCTGGCTCCTGGGCTCCCTCATGCTGATGCTGACAGGCCATAAATCCATGTGCGTGTGTGTGTGTGTGCATGTGCGTGGTGCACATGTATGGCACACATGTGTGGCGAATAGATGGTTCTCACAATTTTCTCTCATTTCTCTTGGTAGCTTCTTAAGGCACCCCACACCAACCGGCCACCCCGTCTCCCAGCATTTCAGACTCCATGTGCAGAGGGGGCCCTTCTGTAGGTATTTCCACATCTCTGGAATCCTGGCTTTCTCGCTTGGAATGCAGACCTGCTGGAATGTCCAGGATCTGTCGACTCAAGAGGCCCCATCCCCTCTGCCCACCCTCTCCCCTCCTTCTGCCTGCCCACCAGCTGCTCCTGTCCATCTTCCCCTCCCACTCTCCTTGTATCGGCCCCTCCTCCACACCCACCCCTCCCCCAGCCTCTGACCCCCATCCTGCCTGGGGCTGGGGGTCAGAGGGGAGACAAAGACAGGATTTATCGCTAGCATAGAAGAAGCAGCCAGAGACTGAAGCTGAGGGCAACGGCTGACCTCTCTGGGGTGGGAGGGAGCGCTAGGCCCAAGGCTCCTGCTCACAACCCCCAACTTTGCCCACTCCAGCCGTGGGCTCTCTCCCTTGCCTCTGAGGACACTGAGGTGAAGCAAAAACCTGAGAGGACTAGGGAAGCAGGAGCCAACAGGCCACAGTTGCTGAATTAAGAAGTTCAGGTTGAACACTGCAATAGCAGACGGGACCTCAGGAGATTTGATTCTAACAGAGAGAGATGACTCAGGAGCAGGCCCTGAGGGCCAGCGGGGCAGGAACCAGAAGAGCTGGGGTGCTGAAAGACAGGAGTCGCAGTCTCACCTGAAAGTGAAGACAGGACGGGAATGGCCCAGGGTGACTGCTGTAGCCCTTCTGAGGAGGCCCTTCTCCCCCAGCTCCCCAACTCTCCTCAGAGGCAAACAGAGCAGCGGGACCCTGCCCTGACAGTAAATTACAGACTGTTGGCCTGAAATTGTCTCCACTCAGCACGCAGGGTGTGTGTGCTTGACAGGGAATGCGATGATCCAGGAGCTTCCGAGAAACCAGCCAGCAGATCTTTCTGCGGGCAGCCCCCCACAGCCTCTCCAGCTGCCCTGGGAGGCTCCCCACCAACCCCTCCAGCCCCTCAGGGGCTCTTGGCCTCGGCAGACCCAACTGGACAGCACTCACACCACTTCCAACCCCTGGCACCCAACATCCCACTCTCCACTCTCACTCCACTGTCCTGGGAGAAAGAGAAGTTGGGAGAGAAAGTGGAAACTGAGGCAATCTACCTGTCGTCACAGTTCCCCCAACCTTTCCACCCAGAGTTTGTGGACTCGCCTCTGCAAACTGAAACAATTCCCCCAATCTCTGATGGAAAAATGAAGTTGGGTATCTTAGTGTGTATGTGTGTGTGTGGGGGGGTCACAGCTGGAGAGGGAAGGTTGGGGGAGGACAAAAGGAAGGGGCATAGGGGCCTCCACCGGGAAGGGAGGGACAGGAAAAGGCAGAAGAGAGCCTCTTTTTTCCTTACTCCCCTTCCCCCAATTGAGGAGGCAGATTTACAGCCTTGGTTTGGGGAGGGGGGTGAGCACAAGGAAGACAGATCTGCAGTTCTGCCCTCTGAGTGTCTGGGTACTTAGCTTTAACTCCCCCATTAGCATCAATCCCCATCTTGCTACCCATCCGTCTTCTGACATCAGCTCCTTCCCCTCTCTGTAGCCCAGGCTTTCTGACCCTAAGTGGCTCTTAAAGGGCCAGTCTAGACCCTTCTCTTCCCTCCTCCCCCCCCCAGGTCACAGCGTGATGTGTGTGTGCAGGCGTGCGCATGTGCACGGTAGTCATCCCAGCTATGGCCATGGTGCAGGGGGAGCATGGTTTTTGGGGCTCTTTCCCAGTGGGCTCTGGACCCCCTCAGACATGTCTTCCATCTTGGCAGACTACCTCCCCAGGCCCAGAGCAAATCCCTGTCAGAGGGCTGGGGTCACAGATCCAGGGCTCCCTGCAGCAGAGGGCTGGAGAAGGCCTGCGGTGTTGCAGCAGATTCTGTCTCCCTCCCTCATTTCCTGGAGGCTCCAGGGCAAGGGGTGTCAAGTACCAAGGGCTGTTTCTAATTCCCAGCCAGCTAGAGCAGTGGTGTGGGCAGGAGTCCCTAAGCCCCACATGCCAGGCCTCATCTGCCAGGAATCTCTGGGGGTGCAGGGGTGGTGATGGTGTGGAGATTTCAGAGCCTGAGGGAGGTGATGGGCCAGAGGAGTCTGCCCCTTCTTCCCCAATTCTCAGTCACTGCACACACAGGAAACCAGCTGCCCTTCTGCAGACTCGCTGGGCCCCTCGCGCCAGGAGCTGTACCCATGCCAGAAAGTTCCTCCCCTAGCCGCTTTCTACTGCTAAGGCTCTGCAAGCCTGCCAGGGACACTCGTGGATTGGCCCATTCCCCTTTCTGCTACCTGAACCCCCTTTCTCAGCTCCCACAGTGCTGAGTGAGCAGACAGGTGGGGGGCCTTGAGGAAAGGGCCCTGTCAAAACAGCACCCCCAGCTGCGTGCCACCAGCACCCCCACACCCCTCCGCTCCAGTGCTCCCTTATTTATCACCTTCCAAACCTCACCCTCCAAGAAGCATAAATATTCCTAATTCCTGAAGGCCAACCCTGAACTCATAAATTTCACCCGGGAGGTGAGCAAGCGGAGGAGTGGGGTCTCCGTGACTGGCGAGCCCGCTGCAGCCTCCAGGACGCGATCCTGACGCGGGGTGGGGCGCAAGCGCCTGCTAGCTGCGTGCGTGGGGGCGAACCCTGAGGCAAGGAGTGGGCGATGCTGTCCTCGCTAGCCCCTCTGCCCCCCAAGTTCGCCCCTGTTGGCTTGTAACCTTCCAGCTGCAAGGCCGCCGCCTTCCCTCTCCTTCGCTAAGCGCCCCTGGAGCAGCCATTGTCTGAGTCGCAAAATCCCCTTTCCCTTCCGCCCGGGGCGGCGAGTTGAGAAGCCCCCTCACCCCAAGGCCCCTTCGCCCCTCAGGCCACGCGCGCCCTTTCCCCTCAGCCGCTCCCCGCCTGCGCTCAGAAAGGTGACCCCTCCTCGCTTCCACCCGCGCTGCCTCTGGCTTCTCTGTCGCCCTCTGGCCCCACTTGGCGCTCCAGCCTCCTCTCCCCGGCCCCGCACCCCTCAGACCCGGTCCTCCGCTTGGGTTCCCACCACCGGGTCCCCATTTTCCCCTTCCCCAGCGGACGGAAGGGGAGCCCAGGCCGGGGAGGGGGAGGGGCAGCCTCCCCCCCAGCTGCGCCCCCTCCCAACATCCTCCCCGCAGCCCCCCGAAGCCATAAATCACAGCCACGGCGGCCTGGCCAATCGGAGAGTGACTCGTAAATCGGCTTGTCAAGATCAGCCAATGAGAAACGGCGTTAAATCAAGTCCTGTCAGCGCTTGGCCAATGAAAGGCCCTGGGCTGACCATAAATCTGCCTGTGAGAGACAGCCGGGGAGAGAGAGAGAGTGCGGGCGAGCGAGGGCCGCGGGGCGGGGGCGCGGGCGCGCGGCGGGGGAGAGGCGCGAACCCGGGACGGGAGATGGAGACGGCCGACGGGAGAGACGGACAGATGGGGAGAGACAAAGAAGTCACGGAGCTCGGGCGGGAGACTGACAGGGACAAAGAGGGACACACTGACTCACACCAGCACGGCCCCCAGGCGCACACAGCCCCGGCCGACGCGCCGTGCGCACGCACTGCCCTCCTGTTCCCTTCCTCCTCATTTGCCCTTCCTGCTCTTTAGGGACCCCGGCGAGTGTGGGGACAAAGGAGGGGGGACACCGTCTTGGGGAGATCTGTCTTGTAATCTCAGACGCCAGTGTTTCCGCTGTGTCCTCTGACTCATCTTTTCCAGAGGCCTGGAGTTTTTTTTTTTTCCCTCAGCGACGAGTCGCTGAGGAAGTCCTTCCTGCAGTCTAACTTCAGTCCTTATTGCTGCACTTTTTCTGTCTTGAGGAAGCTTTTGAAGTCCCTTCAAGGAATGAGAAACATGATCCCTTTTACAACCCTTTGGAGAGTTGTGCAGCTTTTAGCTGGGAAGAGAAAAAAAAAAAAAAAACGGAGCCACCAGCTTGACACCTGATCCTCATGTTAGCAAGACAGCTGTTCTGTAATGGTTAGACTTGAGCTGGTCCTGAGAGCAGGCTCCGTCCCCAAGCCTTGATCTTACCAATGTGTGACAAAGAGGTGGAAAGAGGTGAGAATTCCATGAAGTGGACCCGCCCTGGGTCCAGGGTGAAAGTGTGTGCCATTTGTGAGTTGCTCGTCGGAACACCCAGGCTGCTGTTCGTTCCTGCAGGTTGCCCGTCTGTGTGGCTGCCTCAGTTGCCCCGTTTAGGCTACTGGGGTTCCCTCTGGAAGAACAACACCCAGAGGCACGGGTTCCCCAACACCATCCCTGGACGCAGACCGTGCGCAGGTCCGTCTGTCCACCCTCCATAAGTCTCACTTGGTGCTCCCGAGACCGTGGACTTGGGGCGCGAAGGAGATGGCAGGCAAGCCCCCCAAGGAGATGGGGTCGGGGGAGGTCAGGGCAGCGACTCAAATTCCATCCCCTCGCCGCCACCATCCCCCCACCCACCAAGTAGACCAAAACGTGTCATGCTTCGCTCTGTCGAAGCTTGGGGTCTGCATTCCCGGTCAGGGGGTGTCTGGACTCCCACTGCCGCCGGCCCCTTCTGCCCTCAGACCGGAAGCCGCCTGGAAACGCGGGGATCCAGCGCCACCTGGTGGCCGCAGGTGCACTAAGGCTGTGTCCGGAATGAACGATGGGGTCTGCCGCCCGCCTAGCCCCGGGGCTGAGTGGGGGTCTCCGTCCTGCTCCTGTGCGCCAGGAAGGCAAGAGCCGGGGGAGTCAGGGTTTGGGGTCCGGATGAGTTACCCCAGAGGAATAGAGACCGTGCTAATGCACCTGAAATCCTCACTTGTCTGTCCTAAGTGAGCTCGGGCCCCGTTTCCACAGAACAAGGAGTCCTCCCTCATGACCATCCTCTCTTCCCTCCCGCGGCCACCCCCACTGCATTAGGGCAACGACCGGAGAATGGGCATACCGGGGTTATCAGCACACTGGGTAATCAAAGCTGGGCTACACCACTTTTTTTTTTCTTTTAAGATTTATTTATTTTTATTGGAAAGGCAGATTCACAGAGAGAAGGAGATACAGAGAAGGATCTTCCATCCATTAGTTCACTTCCCCAAATGGCTGCCACAGCTAGAGCTGAGTAGCTCTAAAGCCAGGAGCCAGGAGCTTCTTTAGGGTCTCCCACATGGGTGCAGGGTCCCAAGGACTTGGACTCTCTTGCTTTGGAAGGCCACAAACAGGGAGCTGGATCATAAATGGATCATCTGGGTCTAGAACCAGTACCTATATGGGAAGCTGGCACTTGTAGGCAGAAAATTATCCAGCCGAGCTGTTGTGCCAGCCCCTACATACAACTCAAACTGGATCAGTCTGCAACAACGGCAGATCCTAGCAACAGTAGGTACAAAACAGGGACGATTCCCAGGAAATTCAACTGAAAATAGAAGGCAGGAAAAACCTCTTGCTAAAAAGACATATTTCTTGGGGGACATTCATTGTTGCATTGTGAGTAAATTGCTGTCTGTTGCGCCAGAATCTCACAGGAGAGCAGCTTTCCCAGGCTAGGGGCAAGGAGTTGGATGGGAAGTGGAGCAGCTGGGACATAAACTGGTACCCATATGGGATCCCGGTATTTGAAGCGGGAGAATTAGCCAATTGAGCCATTGTGTCAGGCCCTCCGACAGGCAGCTTAACAGTTGCTAATCCTTGGAGCCTTGGACTCCCCTCAGCTGAAGATCAGACTAGCTGTTTCCCGCCCCTACCCTGGCACGGGACCCCCTCCCGAAACTCAAACCAACCAGAGACTGGCCCTTAACGCACAGAACTCCTTTATTAGTAAGGAAGAATGCTATTGGGCGGCCCAGGGCTGGAACACAGCTCCAGGCAGGGGGAAGAGAGATGGCCGTGAATTTACATGTCCAGGCGTGGCTCTCACCTGTCCTAGCCTCCGCTGGGCACTCTGGCTCTGCAGCAGCAAGGACACAGTGTGGCTAACGCAGCCTCTGGAAACTCTGGGGCCCGCGTTTTAAGAGGGAGCCGTAGGCTTGGCGGAACTGGCGGTTCATGGCGGCAAAGAGCACGGGGTTGATGCAGCTGTTGAGCCAGGTGAGGTTGGCAGCAAGCATGTGGGCCACCCGCGGAGCCTGGACCTTGGTGTCCAGGATGTTAAGCAGTAAGAAGGGAATGTAGCTGAGAGTGAAGCAGAGGAACACAGCGAAACACATCCGGGTCACTTTTCCAAACTCGGACGGGGAGTCGTGAGCTCTTCGCGCGCCTGTGGCTGGCCGGGCCTTGGCAGGCGTCTGTGGGTGGGAATGGCTTTTTGGTGCTGTCTGTTTGGCTACCTTGTTGTGGCTCGGTGCTCCTGCTTCTGCAGAGTCTCCTTCCTGGGTCTGGGTGGTGGCAGTGCTTTCTGGCTCAGATGAAGTCCCTTCACTGGGCCTTCCAGAGGCCACCCCGCTGTCCAGCTCTTGGAAACGACCAGGTATGGCGTCGTGGGTGCCAGCCACGTGGTTGGAGCGCACGCTGGCCTGTTGCAGCTTGTACTGGTCGAGCGCCTGTGCTGCCCGTTTCACCTGGCGGTGGATGAGGCAGTAAAAGATGCCCACACTGCTGAGCCCCAGCACAAAATAGATGCCCATGAGGATGGTGGTGTATGGACGGCCTCGGATGCGGTCGAAGCTGCAGGTGCAGACCACAGATACCAAGATATAGACAGACCAGAGTGGGGCGAAGCTAGCCACCCCCACCACCCAGGTGCCCACCAGGGCCAGCACTAATCCCTTGGCACTGAAAACTCGGGGAAAGAGCCTGGGGTGTGCGATGAGGAGATAGCGCCCCACTGCGATGAGGCAGAGGGTGAGAATGGAGACAGAATTGGAAGTGAAAAGCAGGAGCCCAAAGACCCTGCAGAAGGTGGCACCAGTACGCCAATGCAGGTGGAGGTAGGTGTCCACGGAGAAGGGCTGCAGGATGGTGCAGTAGAGGAGGTCGGCCAGTGTCAGGTTGGCAATGAGCAGGTTGAAACGGGTTCGGAGCTTGGGCTGGATGGCCAGAGCCAGCAGGGTGAGCACGTTGCCCACGGTGCCCGTCACAGCCACCAGCACACCCCAGCTGACTGCCACGTAACGGTAGCCTAGCACAGACTCGTGGTAACAGGAGAAGCTGGCATCTGAGGCATTCCACATGGCGGAGGCTGGAAAGGCGACAGGCGGGCAAGAAAGAGGGATTAGAAGCTGGTCTTCAGCTTGGCTCCCTCGAGCAGCTCGGGGCCCCTGGACACCTGAACTGCTTGCCTCGGTCCCTGTCCTGCACAACCGTCCCCAGCCACCCCAGCCCTCTCCTGGCCTGATGATCCTTTCCCAACTCAAACATTTCTTCAAATTCTCCTCTAAGTGTGTCTGGATTTCTGTTTGTTCCTTCCCCCAACCCTAGGTCTCTCCAATTGCTGTCAGTAATCCAGTGCTCTCTAACGTTTATTAAAAAAAAAAAAAAAAAGGTTTAAATTGTTTATTTGGGGGTTGGCTCCATGGAGTGTCAGGCTAATCACCTGCCTGCAGTGCAGGCAACACTTATAAGCACCGGTTCGAATCCCAGATGCTCCACTTCTGGTTCGGCTCTGTGTCTATGACTTGGGAAAGCAGTGGAGGATGGCTTATGTGCTTAGACCCCTGTATCCAGGTAGGAGACCTAGAAGAGGCTCCAGACTCCTGGCTTTGGGCCAGCTCAGCTCCAGCCATGGCAGCCGTTTGAGTGAATCAGATGGAAGACCTATCTCTGTCTTTCTCTCTCTCTCTACCTTTCAAATAAAAATAAATATTTTTAAAGGGGTGTGCAATGAGGAGATAGCATCCCACTGTGAGGCAGAGAGGAAGCTCTTCTGACCATTGATTCACTCCCCAAGCAGCCGCAATGGGGAGCTTTACCGATCTGAAGCCAAGAGCCTGGAGCCTCCTCTGGTTCTTCCACGCGGGTGCAGGGTCCCAAGGCTTTGGGCCATCCTCCACTGCCTTCTCAGACCACAAGCAGAGAGCTGGATGGAAAGCGGGGCCTCCGGGACACAACTCCACACCCATATGGGATTCCGGCACATTCAAGGCAAGGACTTTAGCTGCTGGGCTACCATGCCCGGCCCAAATTAAAAAAAAAAAAAATTAAATCTTAAAAAGAATTATTTTAGTTATTTTAAAGGCATAGTGATATCAGTAGAGGGAAAGGGAGGGGCAGAGAGAGAGACATTTTATATCTGCTGGTTCACTCCCCATATGACTCCAAATGTTGGGGCTGGACCCAGGCCAAAGCCAGGAACCAAAAACTCCATCGAGGGTCCGGCGCGGTGGCGCAAGTGGTTAAGGTCCTCGCCTTGCACGCCCGGGATCCCATGTGGGCACCGGTTCTATCCCGGCAGCCCCGCTTCCCTTCCAGCTCCCTGCCTGTGGCCCGGGAAAGCAGTCGAGGATGGCCCAAAGCTTTGGGACCCTGCACCCGCGTGGGAGACCCAGAAGAGTCTCCTGGCTTCGGATCAGCATAGCATCGGCCGTTGTGCTCACTTGAGGAGTGAATCATCGGACAGAAGATCTTCCTCTCTGTCTCTCCTCTCTGTATATCAGCCTTTCCAACAAAAAAAATAATAAAAAAAAATAAATCTTGAAAAAAACTCCATGGAGACCTCCCACATGGGTGGCAGGGACCCAGTTATTTGAACTTTCTTCTGCTTTCTCAGGTACATTACAGGGAGTTGTGTCAGAAATGGAGGGACTTGAATCGGTACTCCAGTACAGGATGCTGACTGGCATTGCAAATGACAGCTAGGCCAGCCACCATGCTAACCCCTGGGGATCCCTTCTCTCTACTCAAGTGCTGCTGCACTTCACTCTGCTACACACACACACACATGCACACACACACGCAGGTGTCCGTTTTCCTGTTGGTTGCCACTAGGAAGCTAACAGAAAAGACTAAGGAAAAATACACCCACGAGCAGGTACTCACGGGGAGCCTCGGTTCTCTCTGCAGGGAAGGAAGCTGAGTCACGCCAGGAGCGGTCCCTTCCAGCGAGCGGGCAGGCTTGGCTCCTGGGGCTCCCTGCTCGCCTGTCTCCTCTCAGCACTGGACTGAAGAAGCAAGAAACTCCCCAGTTACCCAACCTCAGCCACTTCCCTCGCTACCTCCGGTCCTGCTCGTCTCACTTCTCTGGTGAAATTCCCCACAACTTACCCCAGAGTTCTGTTGCTCACATCCAAGCTCTCTTTCATTCTCTCTCTCCCTCTCTCTCTCTCTCCCCCCACTCGGCATGTCAGGAAACCTACAAAGTCATCGCTGAGGATTTCCTGGGCGCGGACACAGTACCAGATCTTCCGGGGCCCCTGCTCCAAGAGACGAGAGATCAGACAGGGCCCAAGAACAGGCTGCTTTTGGGGGTGGAGCATCTTCCTTTCTCTCGTTCCTTCTTTCTTTCTATATTTATACTTACTTTTATTGGAAAGGCAGATTTACAGAGAGAAGAAGAGACAGAGAGGAAGACCTTCCATCTGATGGTTCACTCCCCAGATGGGATCAATGGCCAGAGCTGAGCTGATCCAAAGCCAGGAGCCAGGAGCTTCTTCCAGGTCTCCCACATGGGTGCAGGGTCCGAAGGCTTTGGGCTGCCTGCCACTGTTTTCCCAAGCCATAAGCAGGAAAGTGGATGGGAAGTGGAGCAGCCAGGACATGAACCATGGCACCCACACATATGGGTTCCTGGTGCCTGCAAGGTGAGGATTTAGTCATTGACCACCACACTGGGCCCAGCACTGGCTTCTCTTCTCTCTGGGACTTGGAGGTGGTTTAAGTCAGAGTGGCCCTTGAGAGACTCCAGCGCATCTGAGAAATGGAGTCAGATGAAGATGGGTGGGGAAAGGAGTATCATCTTGGATTTTGGCTTTATGGTACACAGAAGCTCAGGCCTGTTCCATCCATCCATCCATCCATCTATCCATTCATCCATCCATCCATCCATCCATCTATCCATCCATCCACTCGTCCAGTCACTGCACATTTGTATTGAGTGTCTACTTTGCACCTGACTGACTAAGGATACAAGAAGCTCTGATGCATGGTTTTTGGGTATCATTTGGTAGGAGACACAGATATACAAGTCTTTAAAAGTTTAACTGGCTCTTAAAACCAGCAGTTGGTAAACTTTGACCTATGGTCAAATGTAGTTTGCCCTCTAGTTTTAAGTTTTTTAAATATTTATTTATGGGCCCAGCATGATGACCTAGCAGCTAAAGTCCTCGCCTTGAATGCGCTGGGATCCCATATGGGCGTCAGTTCTAATCCTGGCAGCCCTGCTTCCCATCCAGCTCCCTGCTTGTGGCCTGGGAAAGCAGTCGAGGACGGCCCAAAGCCTTGGGACCCTGCACCCACATGGGAGACCTGGAGGAAGTTTCTGGCTCCTGGCTTCTGGCTTTCGATTGGCTCAGCTCCAGCAATTGCGGCTGCTTGGAGAGTGAATCAGTAGATGGAAAAGATCTTCCTCTCTGTCTCTCCTCCTCTCTGTATATCTGACTTTGTAATTAAAATAAACTAATGTTAAAAGTAAATAGACATTTATTTATTTGTTTATTTATCTGAAGGTCAGAATTACAGAGAGAGGGAAAGACAGGAAGATCTTCCATCCATTGGCTCAAATAGCTGCAACAGCTGGAGCTGAGCTGATCCAAAGCCAGGAGCTTATTCTAGGTCTCCCATGCAGGTGCAGGGTCCCAAGGCTTTGGGCCGTCCTCAACTGCTTTCCCAGGATACAAGCAGGGAGCTGGATGGAAAGTGGAGCTGTAGTGTTTAGAACCGGTGCCCATATGGGATCCCAGCACACTCAAGGTGAGGACTTAAGCTGCTAGACCACCCCGTCAGCAGGGGTTTGAGCTGCCAAGGAGGAAGGAATTCATGGAGAAGCAGTTGGACGTACTTTAAATGGTGCACAGGGGCCCAGCGTGATAGCATAGCAGGTTAAGTCCTCACCTTGAGCATGCCGGGATTCCGTATGGCTGCCGGTTCTAATCCCAGCAGCTCTGCTTCCCATCCAGCTCCCTACGTGTGGCCTGGGAAAGCAGTCGAGGACGGCCCAAAGCCTTGGGACCCTGCACCCACATGGGAGACCTGGAAGAAGTTCCTGGCTCCTGGCTTTGGATTGGTGTAGCACCGGCCATTGCAGTCACTTGGGGAGTGAACCATCAGACAGAAGGACAGAAGATCTTCCTCTCTGTCTCTCCTCCTCTCTGTATATCTGACTTTGCAATAAAAACAAACAAATAAATAAATCTTAAAAACAAAAACAAATGGTGCACAGTAGTTTTGGAGGGAGATCGGTCGAAGGGTACTCCAGACAGCCAACAGTGTCCTCAGGGATTGGAGCAGAAGCCAATGAGGGTGTACGGGAGAGAGCTGCAGAGGAGAGCAGGGCCGTGGGCAGGACCCACGAGGGCACTGGGGAGCTGGGCTGCATGCAGATTTGTATGGAGACAGCTGTGAGTGAGCAGCACGGGCTGTGAGCCAGCAGGAGAGCCCAGGAGAAGGCGCTGGGGGTTGGGCTTGTGGAGGGGTCGGGCCACATGTCTGTCGCGCAGGGCCCCAGACACACAGGACCCGCCGCTTGCTCTCATGCTCTTCAGTCGCTTCCTGGACAGTCTTACTTCCTTTTAAGATTTCTTTATTTGGGTCTGGCCCAGTGGCCCAGTAGCACAGTGGCTAAATCCTTACCTTGGACATGCCGGGATCCCATATGGGTGCTGGTTCATATCTCAGCTGCTCCAACTCCCTGCTTGTGGCCTGGGTAAGTGGTGGAGGACGGCCCAAAGCCTTGGGACCCTGCACCTGTGTGGGAGACCCAGAAGAGGCTCCAGGCTCCTGGCTTCAGATAGACTCAGCTTTGACCATTGCCAGCAACTTGGGAAGTGAACCAATGGATGGAAGATCTTCTTCTCTGTCTCTCCCCCTCTCTGTAAATCTGCCTTTTTAATAAAAATAAATAAATCTTTAATTTTTTCCCCTTTATTTGAAAGACAAAGCAATGAGAGAAAGAGGGAGAGACGGAGATCGTCCATCTGCTGGCTATCCCTCACAGACCCATCATGGCTGGGTTGGGCCAGGCCAAGATCAGGAATCAGGAACTCTGCCTGGGTCCTCTAAGTGAGACAGGGGTCATTTGCTTTCCCAGGCACACTGGCAGGAAGCTGGAATGGAAGCAGAACAGCCAGGACTGCAAGCAGTGCTCTGATCTGGAATGCCAAGTAGCAAGCAGCGGCTTCACCTGCTGTGTCACAAGGCTGACTCCACAATCCAATTTTTTTTTATAAAGTATCTATTTTTATTGGAAAGTCAGATATACAGAAAGGAGGAAAGACACAGAGGAAGATCTTACTTCTGCTGATTCACTCCCCTAGTGGCTGCAACTGCTGGAGCTGAGCCAATCTGAAGACAGGAGCCAGGAGTCTCTTCCGGGTCTCCCACTCGGATGCAGGGTCCCAAAGTTTTGGGCTGTACTCCACCACTTACCCAGGCTACAAGCAGGGAGCTGGATGGGAAGCAAGGCTGCCAGGACAAGAACTGGCACCAATATGGGATCCCGAGCGTGTGCAAGGTGAGGACTTTAGCTGCTATGCTACCTCACCAGGCCTTAAAATTTTTGTTTTTTAAATTCAATACTTATTTATTCTTGAAAGGCCGTGTGACAGAGAAGGAGTTGCACAGAGACAAACAAGAATTTTCCATTTACTAGCTCACCCCTGAATGCCTGCAACAGGCAGAGCCGGGACAGGTGCTTCATCCAGGTCTCCTATAGGAGTGGCAGCAAGCACTTGACCTGTCATTTGGTACCTCTCGTTGCATTAGCAGGAAGCTGGTTCAGCAGTAGAGTACCCAGGACAAGAGCCAGGCACTCTGACATGGGGTATTGACAACCCAAGTGGCAGTGTAACCCCCAGAGCCACAACATTGGCCCCAAATTCTTAGCACTTTACTCCCGGCCCAGCAAGAGCCCTGCTTTTTCTTTTTTTCTCATTCTGCCCTGGGCCCTACCAACTGTGTAGCTTGTCCTGGTTAAGATGGTGGGTTGTGGGCCCGGCGCGGTGGCGCAAGTGGTTGGGATCCTCGCCTTGCACACCCGGGATCCCACGTGGATGCTGGTTCTAGTCCCAGCAGCCCCGCTTCCCTTCCAGCTCCCTGCCTGTGGCCTGGGAAAGCAGTCGAGGACGGCCCAAAGCTTTGGGACCCTGCACCCGCGTGGGAGACCTGGAAGAGGCTCCTGGCTTCGGATCGGCATAGCATTGGCCGTTGCGCTCACTTGGGGAGTGAATCATCGGACAGAAGATCTTCCTCTCTGTCTCTCCTCTCTGTATATCAGCCTTTCCAATAAAAATAAAATAAATCTTTAAAAAAAATGGTGGGTTGTGGGAATGAAGAACAAGAATCAGGACCCATAGGTTGTTTGGAGGTCAAATAGGACTGTTAGGGGACTCACCGGAAGAAGGGTGAGGAAGAGAGAGGAACAAGGACGGAGCTCCATTTGGCAGACGGGTGGGGAGCCCCCAGTCACTGAGGCGCGGAAGGTGAGGGGGCAGCAGGCTCGCGTCCCACAGAGCAGCCTGAACAGCAGGCCGGAGCCGTGTGGCGTGTGCTAGCACCGGACTCGCCAGCCCCTTCCCCTGGCCCTCTCCCCACCTGACCTGACCCCGGCTTTCCTCCACCCGCTCTTCTGCCCAGCCCCCACGCTCCCGCATCTCCACTTTTCTTATTTTTCTTCTGTCTTTGTTCTTTTCAAGTTGACCTGGAAAAGCACCAGCACCCCTAACACCAACTTCACAGCTCAGCCCTGGGGGCCCCTCTTCCCGTCATCTTCCCCTTCAGCAGGCAGCGCCCCACATTTCCACCTGCCTGCGAGACTGGCAAGTGGACAGAAGCGAAGATGAAGGCAGGAGGACCACACACAGGCTGGGCGCCTCGGAATGATCGACTTTACCTTCTTGCCACCCAGTAGGGCCACAGGGCAAGGGCCATCCTCTGCTGCTGGGGTGGGGGAGGTGGTGATACACAGTTGAACAGAATACTGGGGGAAAAGGGGTGGGGACAGCCTCTTTCCCCACACCTCATAGGGGAAGGCACAGGGGGACCCCCAGACCCACAGACCTGTGGGGACTCAGATGAGAAGGCACAAGTATTCTAATATAAATAGCACAACCCTAGTTCCTTTTATTTAAAAAAAAAAAAAAAAAGGAATTTGTGTATTTGAATGGCAGGGGGAGAGAGTGATCCTGCATCTGTTGTTTACTCCGCAGACAGCCCCAACAGCCAGTTGCCACTACCACCCACCAGGCCTAAGCGAAGCGCCCAGAACTTGGTTTGAGCCTGGCACTTGGGTGGCAGCGTTGAATGTTGAATCAGGCACCTGGGCTGTCGCCTGCGGGCTTCCCGGGTGTATCGGAGGGAGGATGGGCAGGCAGTAGGGCAGCAGGAACTGGAACCAACCCTACCCCCAAGGGGATGTCAGCTTCACAAGAGACTCCTTGCAAAGCAGGTGAGGACCTTGGGACCCTGCGCCCACTTGGGAGACCTGGAAGAGGCTCCTGGCTTCGGATGGCTCAGTTCTGGCAGTTGCAGCCACCTGGGGAGTGAACCAGTGGACGGAAGATCTTTCTAATCTCCTTCTCTCTGTATATCTGCCTTTCCAGTGAAAATAAATAATTCTTAAAAAGGCAAAAACCCCAAAAACTTCCTGCAGCCCAGGCCCAGTTCTTCGCTCTTAGAGATGCTATGTCGAAGCAGACCTTCAAAAGATTCAGCCTTGTGGCTGGCTTCGTGGCATCCCACATCTACGACCTAGTTTGAATCCTGGCTGCTCTGCTTCAGATACAGTTCCCTACAGACGTACCTGGGAAAAAGCAACAGAGGATGGTCCAAGCCCTTGGACCCCTCCCTGCCACCCACACGGGAAAACTAGATGCAGTTCCTGGTTCCTGGATTCAGCGTGGTCTAGCTGCAGCCCTGGTGGTTGCAGCCATTCAGGGGGTTAGTGGGTGCATAGAATAGCTTCTCTACTTTTAAATAAGTAAATCTTAAGCAGACTTAAATGCATTCATTTTGCGGTGGGGACCCTTGAGTTTCAGGGAGGGCAAGAACTGACTCCGTTTCTGTGCGGTTGATCCTAAAGGTCAGACTCCCCCTCGTCCTCACCACCTCGAGTTCCGGCCCTCTCGACTTCCCGTATCTGTGGCGCAAAGCCTGGAGTTTTTGCTTTATCGGTTCGCGGTCTAGACATCTCCCCCGCCCTCCTTGAAATCCGGATCGAAGTCACACCGCAGGAGCGCCTGGCCTCGAGACGTTGGTTTTCCGTGTATTTGGCGCCGCCTGGTGGACTTGCAGCGAATCCTCAACTGCCGCAGCCGGTCTCCCAGTCCTTCTCGAAAAGATCTCCTTCCCTCAACACCTCTCACTGTTCCGGCCAGGTTTACCCAGCCGGGAGGAAGGAGAGGCTGTGCTCACTTCGCGCAAGCCCCGCTGCTTGCTTCCGACCCCATCCTCCCCTAACGACCCCCTTCTCTTCCTCATCCCCTTTCAAGCGCGCCGGGACGCGTCACCATCCATCTACGGACCCACCTGCTCCCCCACCCCGCACAGCCAGCAAGGACCGAGTCTGAGTCTGGGGAGGGGGCGAAGGACAGAACGAATCCAGACTTTATTGTGGGCGAGAGGCAAAGGGCTGGAGGCTGAGGGGCCGGGGTTGCTACATTGTCAAGCAGAAAGAGTTGATGGGGAGGGGGTCGGCCCGGTGGCCAAGCCCCGCTACCGGCTGGGCGGACGAGACGGAACCACGGAGGGTGGGGGGTGGGCTGTCACGCCCCCGCCCGACTTGTGCAGTGGAGGTGTGTGGGAGCAGGGCCGGCCACGAGGTCTAAGGACCAGGACGGGGTGGGTGGGGGTGCGAATCTTGCGGTCCGGGGCGGGGCGGGGGCGAGGCTTCTATTGCTTTTTGCTCACAGTTTTGCGGAAGGCGAGGCGGAGGGGGGCGGGGGTGGGCTTGGACTGGACACCCCCTGCCCCCCCTCGGTAACCCCTCGGGCGATGGGTGCTGGTGAAAAGAATGGAACCCAGACTGGGGAGGAAAGGGCGCGGGGGGCGGGGAAGGGTCCGTGGGGGGCATCTCCTTGGTCCCACCCGAGTGCCGGAGATGCCCCCCCAAGTGCTGCCCCCGGCGTCGGGTCCCGCCGGACCTGGGGCTGGGGCGTGGTGCGGGGCGCGCACAGTGAGGTCGCAGGCGGTAAAAGCAAAGTGCTTCTTCTGAGGGACCCGGGGTCCGCCTGCCCCCTCCCCCTGCGGAGGACGGGGGTGTTCACGGAAGCGCTTCAGTTTGGGGTAGGAGGCCGGAGTCCCAGAGTCCGCTTATTGCCAAGAAAATCCACTTCTGCCCCCTGGACCCTGACCATGGCTTGTGAACCCCGTTTTGTGCTAAGGTTTGGGGGGGAAGGGCTGGATGGACATGGCTTTTGGGAGAGGGGGTGTCTCCAAGGGGACTCGAGGGGATGAGACGGCCCCCTCCTGTTCTAGGGGAGAGGAAAGGGCAGGGGGCGGGGTTCCCTGAGATCTGGGGTGTTCCCCCCCTTCTGAAGCCCCCCTCCCCCGCTACCCCTCCCCTTTCCTGGAACCCCGTACCTCGGGGTGTGGGAGGGGGGAAGGAGAGACCGTTCAGGGAGTGCCGGGGGGAGGCCTGGGTCCCGGCTGGAGGTGGGGGGGTGAGTGGAAGGGGTCTGGGGTTGAGGTCAGTACGGGGAGAAGAGGATGGGGCCGTGCGCGGTCCGGATGGGGCCGGGGGCCGGGTGCAGCAGCGGGTGGGTGATGGGCGGTCCCTGCAGAAGAGGAGCGGCGGGAGCGGGGCGCAAGGACAGCGGGGAGCCCGCGGCCGCGGCCATGACGGCGGCCACCGCCAGGGGGCTGGGCAGCAGGCCGCCGGCCAGGGACTTGGGCAGCTCCTTGGAGAAAGTCAGCGTACCCTGAGGCGGGGAGAGAGGCGGGGAGCGCCTGAGAAGTCATCCCGGGGCCGGCCGCCGCCCTCTGCGCGCCTCCCAGCCCGCGCCCTCCCCTCCCCAAGGCCTCACCGCCAGCTCCGCGGCGCCTCGAGGCTTCTTGTGCCGGCTCAGGAGTGGGTTGGGCTTCCCGGCCACGCCGTCTCGGTGCCGCCGGCTGGAGATGTGCTGCAGGGGGTGGCAAGGAGGTGAGCGCAGGCCGTGCCCCCTCCTGGGGCTCCCTCCCCACTTCCTGGGTGCAGCTCCCAGCCTTCTTCACCCACCTGCTTCAGTTGGACCTCGGAATTGACCTTGACATTGCAGATCTCACAGTGGAAGGTTCTGTCCTGGGTGGGGGCTTCCGGCTCCCCGGGGGTGGGAGGCCCCAGGCGTGGGTAAGCCTTGATGGGCCCCAGCCCGCTCCGGGCCTCCAGAATGGTCTTGTGTTTAGTACCTGCGGTCCACAGACGGCAGGAGGCATGGGGTGGAGGACAAGGTCTCAGTGACCCCCCGCCCCATGCCCAGTTCCAGGCCCCTGGGACCCGCTCCAAACACGAGTGAGTCAGGACAGAGTCAGAGGTTGAAAGGAGCAAGATGGAGCGGGGAGCCATGGCAGGGAGGGGTGGTAACAGGGAAGAAAATTGGGGGTGGTCTTAGGGGACTCATGGATCTGGGGTGGTGGGCTGGGTGAAGCAGGGGACTCCATACCTTTGTTATGCGCCTCAAGCTGAGACAGGGAGTTGACGGCCACCTTGCACAGAGCGCAGTAGAGCAGCCGCTTGGCTTTCTCCTCCTCCTCTTTGCTACCCCCGGGCACCGAAGCTGCAGCCGGAGTGCCCCCTTCACCCTTGGCTATACCCCGGCTGCTCTCCGGGACGCTAGGAGGGGATGGGGAACCGGGCTGCTTCTCTGGGGATCCTGGGGCTGGACCCAGTCCATTCTCCATGGAAACTGCTGCTAGAGTGAGGATAAGGGGGGTGGGGTGGGGAGAAACATGGTGTTACCCCAGATGCCTCTCCCGGCTTGAATTTTTCACATACAGGAAACTCATCCTGATTTCCTTGAGGGCAAGAGCTCAGGGGTCCCCACCCTGTGAGAACATGCATGTTCTCATGCCCTGGGCCCGAGCCAGATATGATCCAGCTGCTGCAGGCTGGGTGTGAGACTGCAAGGCCTGGCTCACCCTTCATAAGCTGGGAATGGCCAAGGGGTCCAGCCCCACCTGGGATGAAACTGGCAACTTCCCGGCCAGTGTGAGAGCAAGCCAGAGTCCTGCTCAGGGGCCAGTGAGGCACAGCCAGGGCAGGGCAGGAGAAAGGAGAGGCAGGAGAGACACGGGCAGGCCTGGCGAAAGGGAGACGGAGACAGCAGAAGCAGAGGGGGAACAGGGAAGGGGCTGCTCTATAATTCATGGCTTGATTAAAGATGCACGGGCCCCAGGCCTGGGTGCTGGCTCGGGCCTCTGAGCAGGGGAAACACTAGTGCTCCCATTCTCGCTCCAGCAGCTGATCCAGTTTCCGGGTCAGAAGGAGGCCGTGGGGCAGGCAGGGAGTTGGTGAGAGGGGAGCGCCTGGCCCCTGCAGGTGTCCCTTTGGTGGTCCATCCTAAAACCCTCCTCTTTCTCCCTCTAACTTCTCTGGCATCATCCAGCCACATCTCAGTGTACACACCCACACCCACACCCCATTCTGGATGGGATTTCATGGTGTGAAAGCAAGGGAGGCACAGTTAGCCAGCCTTGTGTCCTCAGAAAAGGAAGAGAGAGACAGAGAGAGCAAGAACCTGGCTCCCAGGCTGGCACTGACATCCTTGCTCGTTCGGGTGGGACGGGAAGGATACCCAAGGATTAGGAGGAAGAAGGAGAGGCACGCCTCTCTGGACTTGGCTGTGACTGACATGTGATGTGCTAATCCCAGGATGACGGCTAAGTCCTCTCTGGGGACTCGCTGTCTTCCCTTCTCTCGGCTGGAAGTTTGGCCAAAGAGCAGCTCCACTGGCCCGGAGGGACAGAGAATCTGGAAGCATGGTGGAAACCTCAAAGACCTGAGCCCCTCACCCTCCCTCCACTTCCCAGGAGCGGCCTGGGTGTTCTCTGGCTCTCACCCCTCCCAGTTCCCTCCCTTGCCTGGAAGACCAAGGGAGCATGCCTTGGATGGGGTGGTTTCTTTTTCTTCCTTGGGGAGGTTTGCCAGGTGGCCTCAGCCTCGCCCTGGTCTGAGTCACGGGGCGGTGGGGAGGACAGACAGTGGGGACTCTGTTGAGAGGAGCTGGGGACTGGGTGACAGGATGGAAAGTGTGTAATCATTGTGTTTGGCTCAGGCCTTACCTGGGGTGGGGGGCGGCGCTAGGGACTGAGATAGAGAGAGGTGGGGGCAGAGGAGCATGCTGGGATCGGGGAGAGGCAGGCACAGGCAGCGATCAGGCTGGGGAGGGAGGTAGCCATCCATACCTGGACGGGGGGCTGCTGTGCCGTCCCCATTGGGAGGGCTGCTGCCTGGTGGGGCCGGGTCTCCAGGTTCCCGGGCACTGGGCTCCCTCCCTCTGGTCTTGGCCGCCTCGATGCCTTTGACTCGCCGGGCGTGGCGATTGCCCTTGTAGTGCGCCTCAGCCTGGCTCTTGACCAGGATGGAGGGGAAACATGGTGGCAGAGATGCCCTTTGATCTGAGGGCTCTCCTGGGGTTCCGGTTGTTCTCCTTCCCCCAGGGAGATGTGCAGCCCTGCTTCCTCCAGAGGTGGGTAGCAATGCTCACAGCAGCATGACAAGCTTGGGGAACACAGATCCCCCGCCCAGGCCTGTCCCAGGGGACTCCCAACCCATGGTAAAAGTCCTCCTCTGCCTGTGGGAGAAGCCCAGCCCCAGGCAGCCAGGCAGCCGGTGCCCTCCGAGACCCAAGGCCTTCCCCCCAGCCCCAGGATCCAGTCCCAGGAGCTCTGACGCCTGGCCTCTACCCTGGCGACTCCCCTGCTGGGTCTCATTTTCCCTGGAGGACCCTGGACCCAAGCCCAGCTCTGGAGACAGAGACAGCCGCACAGACAGCTGTCAAAACAGAGCAACTCACTGGGGGAGGGAGAGGGAGGAGAGAAGAGGGGAGAGGTGTCTGCTATTGGCTCCCTGTGCCCCAGGAAGTGGACCCAGGGCTGGGAGAGAGGATGCTTGTGGTGGGAGCTTACAGAGAAAACGAAGGCCTACTCCCCTCCTATGGGCACCCCCTGCCAAGAATGTACATCCTAGCAGAGGCCCAAGGTCACCCACACAGGCAGGAAGCCGGACAGCCCAGGGCTAAGCAGTGGTGTGCAGAGTGCAGCTGCGTGGTGTGTGTCTTTTGTGTGTGTGTACGTGTGTGTGTGTGGTTCATGCTGAGTAGAGAAACAGAACATGCCTCCAGTTTGCTCAACTCAGCAGAATGAGGTTCTGCTATTTTTCTCCAAAATCTTTCACAGCCTGCATCCCACAAGATCCCCACACGGAAGTCCCATTAAAGCCTCGGAGGGAGGCGATCTGGGAAGCTGGCTGCCCTGGGCTCCCGGCAGTTTCTGCCCTTGGTGATGATGGTGTGGGGGTCAGAACTTGTGTGTGACCTGCAGGTGTGGGGTGCAGTGTAGCGCTCTCATGGCCAGGGGAGGAATTCAGGAATATAGAGGAAAGTGGGGGGCTTGGGGAGGAGCTGAGCCAAAGACCTAACCCGGCCTTACACCCCATGGGAGGACCGGAGGGCTGGAGAGATGCCCCAGCCCCCGATCAGGGAGGGGGGGGCCTTTCCTTGTGTCACAACCTACAGTGACCGCTTCTCCGTTTCCAGTGGTCTCCCCGTGGCCTGCATCCCCCCTCCACAGCTCCCAGCTTCTGCTCCTTTGCTACAAGGGCCCCCACCCAATAGCTGGGCTTCTTACCTGGGAGTTGAAGCGAATTTGACAGACGTTGCAGGAAATGACGGGCCGCTTGGTCTTGAGCAAGGGTCCCCCAAAAGTGTGGGACAGCACAGCCTTCTGCACAGGGTCCATCTGCGGAGGCAAACTGGGGTGAGCTGGAAGCCGCGGCTCGAGCTCATGTCTTCCACTGCCTCCCTCCGCCCCCTGCAATGGCAGGTGCTCTTACACCAAATGTCCCAGAACCTCCTCTCATGGGCCTGCCACCATGGCTCGGTGGCTACATCCTCGTCTTGCAGGTGCTGGGATCTCATATGGACACCGGCTCATGTCCCGGTTGTTCCGCTTCCCTTCCAGCTCCCTGCTTGTAGCCTGGGAAAGCAGCCGAGGACGGCCCAAAGCCTTGGGACCCTGAACTCACATGGGAGACCCGGAAGGATTTATTTATTTTTATTGGAAAGTCAGATTTACAGAAAGGAGGAGATACAAAGAGAAAGATCTTCTGTCCGCTGGTTCATTCCCCAGATAGCCACAATGGCCAGAACTGAGCTGATCTAAAGCCAGGAGCCAGGAGCCTCTTCCAGGTCTCCCACACAGGTGCAGGGTTCCAAGGCTTTGGGTTGTCCTTGACTGCTTTCCCAGGCCATAAGCAGGGAGCTGGATGGGAAATGAAGCATCCAGGATACGAACCAGTGCCCATATAAGATCCTGGCACATGCAAGGCGAGGACTTTAGACACTAGGCTACCACACCAGGCCCCAAATAAATAAATCTTAAGGAAAAAAAAAAAAGGCCTTAACCTGGACTCTTGCCTTGGTGCAGAACAGCACGAGGCTCTAACAGGGTCACTTTGACCACTCTTCCATGGCTAGGTGGATCCACCAGAGTACCCCACATCCCAGGGCCCTCAGCCTAAGCCTGCGGACCCTTCTCCCCACCTCCCCCATTTTGAGATAAGACTCCAGCCTCACCCACTCTCCGGTGCCAGCAGATAAACATTCCCAACTTCTCATCTCAGCCCCAAGTCGCCCCTACATATTTGCTGGACCCAGGAAGGAGGGAGGCGGGGAGCAGGCCTTGGGCACAGAGTGCGGGGGGGGGGGGGGGCCCACCAGCTAATCCTGGGGGTCCAGGGATCTTCTGTTCGCAGATCAGCGGTGCTGGGGAAAGCAGGGCTGTGGGGCTGGGCGGGACCGAGAGCAGCCTCTGCCCCCGCCCGGGTCAGTCAGCAGATGTCCTGGCAGCCTCCTGCCAAGAGTTCACATGAGGCGGGAAGGGGCCGGGAGTGTCTCCGAGGCTGCTTGCTATCGGGTAGACAGCCAGGGCCTGGAGAGCAGCTTCCCAGAGCCGAGGAGGGGCCAGCCCGGAATGCGGCTGAGGCCAGGGTGACAGCTGAGACCTCTCCCCAGAACAGGACTGGCTCAAGGACTGGAACCCCAGCTTCCAGGTGCAGGGGGTCCAAGCAGGAGGCTGCTGCTGCTGGGTCCCCCCTACTCCCAGCAGTTCCAAGGAGAGTGTGGTGGGAGCTGGAACACCAAGCAGGGAAGGGTGGTAGATCGTGGGAAGCCCACACACCTTGTCTGTCCCCCAAGACTCTCCCTGGCTGGTAGGGTTCATGTGAAAAAGGCATTGATTGGGCCCGGCGCAGTGGCACAGTGGTTAAGGTCCTCGCCTTGCACGCCTGGGATCCCATATGGGCGCTGGTTCTAATCCCGGCGGCTCTGCTTCCCTTCCAGCTCCCTGCTTGTGGCCCGGGAAAGCAGTCGAGGATGGCCCAAAGCTTTGGGACCCTGCACCCGCGTGGGAGACCCGGAAGAGGCTCCTGGCTTCGGATCGGCATAGCATCGGCCATTGCGCTCACTTGGGGAGTGAATCATCGGACGGAAGATCTTCCTCTCTGTCTCTCCTCTCTGTATATCTGCCTTTCCAATAAAAATAAAATAAATCTTTAAAAAAAAAAAAAAGCATTGGTTTCTTCGGGATACCCGGGCAGTGACCCAGCTTCCTCTACTGTGCCTCAGTTGGGACGCGGGGGTGTGATGGACACATGTCCATCTCCTGACTCCCACCCATCCTGGGCTGGAAGCTACTCCCTTTTCCCTCCTTGCCAGCTTCCTAGAAGCTCCAGTCACACACCAGGAAAAGTCAAACAGGAGAGAAGAGTGTGTGTGTGTGTGGGGGGAGCAGGCAGGCTCTGCTCATTCCATGCCTGGGCGGAGTGTGAATGAGTGTCATGGTGTGTACAGCATTTGTGCATCAACATTTCGTCACTGGGGGCTTTGCCGCCGCCCCCAGGGGTCAGGCCAGGCTGCTAGAATCTTCAGCTGTGTGTCTATGTGTGAATATCTGCTGTTGCTGGCAGAAGGAGAGACAGACCACACGGGAGACAGGCTTCCATCAGAAAGGGGAGACGAACAGCTGTTCTTGGAAGCCCAGTCTCCAGGCCTCAGTCTTCCTAATTTAGAGACCCCCTCCTCCACAAACCTGTGCCCCTCTCCCACTCCCAGCCCTGGGTTCTCCTAACCCTTAAGTTTCCTCCAAAGCTAGGTGCGGAATAGGAATTCAACCCAAACAGAAACCCAATCGCAGCCAGGAAACCTAAGCCGGATGAAGAATAGGGAGACGGGAGCAGAATGGAAAGGGGGGGGGGAGAGCAGACTCCCCTGGGGTTCTGTTTGTACCCCAAGCTGCTCAAGAGGGGACCTGGGGGACCCCCGAGATGATCAGTGGACTGGCCACCCCAGCATCCATCCCCTTGAGAAGGGGTCCCAGCCCCACCTGGATGCTGAAGACCTCTTGCACAACCTGAAGCCCAGAGTGAAGTTCACAGACCCTCCTAGAGGAAGTCATGGTGGCCACGGCAGGTGGATCCTGGCCACCACCTCCAGAAGGGAGATGCCCGGGTGAAGAGGCTCCTGGGCCCAATCCCTGCGCAGGTGGAATGTGAGCCACGCTAGTGTTGCTCCAGGCCAAGGTCAGGAGGCCCTGGTGACCTAGATGAGGGCTCCCTGGGGAGGGGTGAGGCCAGCATCTCCCAGAGCCCCCCTCACTCCAGAGCCCCCTGCCCTGGGACGCTGGCCTAGACACTGCCAAGAAAGGTTGGCCTGCAGCGCCCTCCCACCTGACACCCCACACACAACGGCAGACATGAAGGGGAACTGCTCCCTAGAGCTGGGGCAGAAGGAATCAGGAAGGGCAAAGAGGAGGGGAGGAGGGGGGGAAACCAGATCAGGAGCAGGAGGGGGCGCTGGCCATGATTGTGTTTCCTTCCACTGCCCTTTATCTGATGGAACCAGCTGCCCCCGTGTGTCTCCCTGCGTCCCCAAGCCCCCAAATACAGGCGAGGATCTCAAGGGTGGGAAGACCCGAGGGACAGGGAGGACCAGACCAAGAGAGGGGTGACCGAAGAGCAGGTGGAAGCTGGCAGGAGAGGGATGCTGAGCAGGGGCCTGCGCTGGAGCAGCGTGGCGGTGTGCGGGCAGGTGTAGGACCTGATGGGAAGTCTGCAGGTTTGGGGTAGGAGGGGGGCACTCCAAGGACCTGGCAAGCAGAGGCAGGGGTACCCAGTGCCCTGGCAGCAGCCTGGAGAGGGGGGCGCCCGCTGGGGTCCGGGAGATTTTTGGTTCGAGCAGCGCGGCCTGGGGATGCGCCAAGGGGGAGGCAGTGGCCCCGCCGGCGATGGGGGGTGTGTGGGGGTGGGGGGCGCTGCGGCAGCCGGGGCCGGGGCGGGGGGCTTACCCTGCGGGACCCTGGGGGCCGCGGCTCCATGGCCCGGGGCGGCCGGCCCGGGCTGCGGGGTGCCAGGCCGGGCTGGGCCGGGCGGCCGGGGGACGCGGCGCTCGTGGCCCGGGCGGCTCGGGGCTGTGCGGCCCGGCCGGCCGGGAGAAGGGGAGGCGGCGCCGGCCGGGTCCGGAGCCCGCCCCGGAGGCGGGGCCGCGGGCAGGGGCGGGCACAGGGGGCTGGAGAGGCATGCAGGGGGGGCCGGGGAGAAAAAGAGAAAGGAGGAGAGGCGCTGATGTCCAGACGGCCCTTGCAGAAAGACCTTACCCTGGCCCAGGGGCCGCCCGGCTCAGCGGCAGGGCCAGTGACCGGATGACCTGGGCCGCCCCTACCCTGGGTCCCGATGTCCTCCACGGACGACCCTGCTTGTCCCCGCTTGGGTATTTCTGTTTGCGTTTGCCTCGTCCGCTGACGGCCAGGTCACCGAGTCCTGCCCGGGAGACCCTTGCCCAGCAGCAACCCGTGCACCGTCCCTTACAAGTCACCTCTGGCCCTGCGATTGCTTCCCAAAGTGCTTTCTCAGTCACCTCCCCGAAAGGTGGAGCCGGGCGGGGAGGAGGGGTCGCCAGCTCAAATAAGTAAATAAATAAAAATTTTAAAATAAAAACAAAAAACGACCTTAGCCGGGAGACGTCGTCCCTAGCCCCCTCCCACCTGCCTCCCTCGCCCGCCACCTGCCGGAGAGCCGAGGTCCCGAAGAGCCCCTGCTTCGTGCACGTGCTGCCCTCTGGTGGTCGCCCGGGGGAGCGGCACGGGGACGAACGACCCTCACTCTTTTCCCTTCACCTCATCCCTTCTCCACTTGCATCCCAAAGCCTGGGGTCTAGATTGGGGGGCGTCGGACGATAAAGTCGTGGGGTGACAGAAGAGCGAGGGGAGCCAGAGAGCTGGCGCAGAGTCCAAGAGGGTAGCAGCTGCCCCAGGAGGAGAGTCTGCTGTAGGCACCGGTACATGGCCCTTCCCTGTCCCCGACCCTACCCCAGGTAGGGACAGCCACATGCTGGGACTGCCATGGCCACCACCGCCTGGTGCTGATGGAGCCCTTGGAGCGTGCCAGCTTCCGTCCTGAGCCCTTGGCACAGATTATCTAATTTAATCATCAAACCGCTGCCTCAAGTAAGTGCCATTATGATTGTCATTTCATCGAGGAGGGACCCGAGGTTTAGAAGGGTTAAATCATTTGCCCAAGGTCATAAGCTAGTAAGTGAGGGATTTGATTTTAAACCCCGGGCAACCCTGTTCCAAAGCCATGTGCTTAGTGGCTTGCACGCTTCTTCCCGGGTCCTGCCTGCAGCTCTCCTGCAGTGCTGACTCCCCTGCAGAATCTGACACTCCACGCAGCCAGCCACACGCGC